TTTGTATTTTTTCTAAAAAAACCAATCTACTTATCTTTAATATTTCCTTACTATTATACTATACTTCTATCTACTATATTTTAAGTGATCTTAGCTTTTTCTCAAAATTCTCTAGATTTTTTCCTCTTTGCCAATAAGTTATCTGGTTTTGGTTATACATGCTTAGTTTCTAGTTTTGCTATGTGATATCTATAATTACCTTATGATGCATTTGTTTGTTTACCTCTTTTCACATGTTTGTGTTATATAAAATAATCTGCAATACAGAGTATGTACTAGTTCCTACTTTTGTCAACAAAAAGTCTTTGTATCTAATTTTATATTAAAGTTTTTCTTCTAGAGCTTCTATTCTTCTCCTATTTTCTTTTCTTTTATCTTTGTTAAATATATTTCTTGGGTTTCTCTTCTTTTTCTTAAGAACTCTAATACTGTTTTTTAGTGATAATTTTGTGTTTTTTGAATTTTTTCTTCTGTTCCAAAAATAGTTAGAATAATCAACAGAAAGAGTTGTTATGAATAAACAAGTTTAATTAATACTAAAAAAAGGTTTACTTAGTAATACTATTTCTTATAGAGCATTTTTATATATTTTGAAAAGGTAAAAATAGAAAGTCTCTTAGTTTTATTTTATTATAATAGATTAAATAGTATAAAAATTATTTAATTTAGCTTAGTAAATTACAAGTTATAATAATTTTTATAATATATTTTTTGTAAATTAATAATTTAAATTAATTAATTTTATATTATCTTATTAAAATAAGTTAAATAATATAAATTATTTATTTTAAATTAATAGTTTATGAATTATGATTTGTTTTCTTTTAATTTTACTAAAAAACAAATTAATTATTTTTAGGTCTAGTATTTCTTCTGAACACTGGACTAATTTTATTTTTGCAACACCAAAACCAGTATTTGTTTTTGCTAAACCTACTGAAGAAGTAAGTCAAAATGCTTATAATATTGCTAAGGATATAGAAGATATTATAGCAACTATAGATAAGTCTAAACTTTGTGCTATAATAACTGATAATGCCTCAGTTATAAAAAAATCTTGGAAAATTTTAAGTAATATTTTTCCTAATATTATTTATATGGGTTGTTTAGCACATAATTTAAATCTTATTATTCAAGATATTATGAAATTAAATTGGACTAAATCTATTTATAAAAAAACAAAAGCTATTGTTAAATTTTTTAGAAATCATCATATTCCTGCAGCTATTTTTAAACGTCATCAGCAAATACAAGAATCAAAAGTTTCACTTAAATTACCTGCAAAAACTAGATGGGGTTCTTTTTTTATCTGTATGGAATCAGTTAAAGTTAATCATATTGCAATTAGTCTTACTATTACAGAATTAATTGCAAATCAAAATAATATAGATAAAAATA